GATTGAGATGGCATAGTTCTAGTAGAATTCTTTCATAGTGTGAAGTCGAACTGACCGAGAACTGAAGCCCTGTCCTCCTGAATGTGTCTGTCCCACATTTTGAGGAAGAATAAATCACTCGTCTCACCTGCAACTGTAAAGGCACGGTTTGCAAACATGTTTAAGTCCTACGTATCTTCGGGCAGTAGGTTTGTTCTAATGTATAATTTTACGCTCATAATTCAACAAGATTTATCTTCCTTCGTAAGCTCCTGACGCTATTGCTTTAAGGTCGGTGAGCGTGTAACCGCAGAGGGAGACACCCGTGGTCTCAACCCGAAGGCATATCTTCACGGTTGCCGGACGTCCATCCGATGAAGTAGCCTTATCTGTTTTTACGACTGCGAAGTATCGCCAGATGAAGGCCAACACAGCCGTGTAGTCTTTTTCTGTATACTAATGTTTCGGAGGAAGATGCTGCCTCCATCTTCGGCCCTGAAGATGGAGGCAGTACAGCCAAAATACTTCATTGCGTAACAACCCAAAAGAACGTACTAGCCGGATGGTTTGCACTCTTGCTTCGTATGCGGGAAGTCCCTGGTTTGTATCTCGACCTAGAGACCAGATGTTTTAACTGACGTTTTCGCGGTTTTCCTCAGTTCCTCCGGACAAATTCCGTGACAGTACCTCGAGTTAGGTTGAGACTGCTTACTTCTACATTTTTCCGGATTCATTGTTTGTTTGTAAGCCTACCATTCGACGCTGCACAGTCTCAGCTGCTGGCAGCGTCTTTAAATAAGCCGTGAATTAATAAACGCGTCGCCATGAAAGCCTCAAATACCATTGAGTCCTGAGGAACAAAACAGAGATCAATTGCTGACAATGATGAAGAAATGAAACAATAAAGGCAAAAGGAGAGAAAGATAAAAGGAATTAAAAAGAAGTGAATGAGGGAAAGAAGAAAGAAAACGTAGCAGAAATAAATGAACAGGTAGAGAGAAAGAGAGAGAGAGAGAGAGCAGGGCTGCAGAGTGGGCCCGTCCCAAGAACGTGAAAGACGTTCGAGTGGCTGAGTGACTGCACAAGTCAGAAAAGAAGCTCCTCTTGCGGAAGTGGGAGGCTCGCACCAGTACAAGGCGTTCTTCGCAGACCGACATCCTCAGTTTAGGCATGGTTCAAACAGCGGCCGGCTGGAAAAAAAGAAAGGAAAAAAGGAGGAAAAGAAAAAGAAAAGGAAGAAAAACTGAACACTGAACAAATTGAACGGAAGTGCTCAAATTGCTCGGTGCGATTACCATCAGAATGAGAACGCACAGAGGTAGGACTGATATACACATAGATAATCGCTAATTGTTGGCACCACTGTGTAATTTAAGAGCATCTAATATGTTCGAATGCGGTGCAGATGGGCCGGAGTTTATACTGTACTTTTGCGTAATGTAGCGGATTCACGTTAATTTAGGAGTCACGACTTCTTGGACATCTCCCTCAAACAAATTCTGCTAACCAACTCCATGGAGCAGAGTCCTTCTTGAGAAGCCAATACCACCCTCAGTTAGTCAAACCATTCCCTGCTTCTTTGGAACCAGAAGGTTTATTATTGTGTTTAGAAACGTCCACCACTGGTCCCTATCCTGAACCATATGAATCCAGTCCACACCCTCTCATCCTATTTCCCAAATATAAATTTTAATATTATCCACGCTACGCTTTTCTCATCTCTCCCATGGTGCCGTATACCTTACGACATAACAGTGTGAAAATAACTGTCTTCTGCGACGTTGTGCCTTATAATTTGGTGGAAGTTTTCCGACGTTTTAGAAGTACTTACTGTCCCATCATCACAGCCATCACCCTTGTGATGGAGGCACCTAACACTTACGAAACGTCAGAAAACTTTTATCAGAAAACACAGCGCAGAATCCTAGGAGACAATCGACTTTAACATCGACATGTTCACTGCCGTGAGAACCTCACTCTCAAGATTAAAAGTTTTTACCACGGAACAAACCCAGACAAGATACAAGTGTATATCGACTAAGATTAGTCGAAAGCCATATAAAAGGCAACACAGAAATAAAACTGGACTATCACATGACGGCATTAGACTAATGTCACAAAGCTTTGTAGCCACACGAACATCAGAAGCTTTCTGTTACAACGTGTAGTCTGATAACCACGGCGTTTAAACTTCTGAATAGCTGAAGGTCGCCAGTTACGAACTATAGAATCTCTGGACCAACTCTACTCATTTCACCTGCCTATAAAACATAGAAATCACATAAATTGTCATTCCATATCAAAAACCACGTGAAGTCCTTCCGTATAGCCACAAGCTAGAAGCTGGTAATTTGTAGCAGGAACTCCTGTCGAGTCATTTGGGCAAAGTTTGCTTTTGGCCACAACGGATCATCTGACCACACGCACGCACACGCACGCACGCATAGATCTTAATGACAAAGATACGCGTTTGATGCTGATTACGGCGCGGTTTGAATTTGATACCAATAATTGATATTAAGTACTAAGTAGACGTGGCATGCGTGTAATCATATGAACAAGCGTGGCGTGTGTAATAGAACTTCGCTCACAACTGCCTCACGGTAAAGTAGACTATTTTAATACGTCGTTTCTGGTCAGTTTCCTAGCCTCCTGCTTTTATCAGTCTCTTCATGTAGTTTCTTTCATGGTTACTGAATCTGGAATGTAAAGATTTGCTTATTATGAAGACTGATGGATCACCAATTGCGAAGAGCGAATGAGTGTCTGAGTTCGGTATCCCTGGATTTTTAAAGTCTCCGCGCGCACAGCCGCAGTTTCTGCATCAGATAATTTCAGCACGTCTGAAGTTCTCTGGCAATTGTCACTACCACGTCAACATTCAGTGATCTCTTATTATCACAACTGAGCGAAAAATCGACTCCTTTAAACTCAGCTTTTTAACACAATTATAATGTTCCGCGCAAATTACGACTGTTTAACTTATTTATAAAATCAAACAATTAACTCTGAGAAAGAAATTATTTTCCCGGCGGTGTCCGAATTTATAACTTGTGTTGGGCATGGCCGTGGTCTAGGCAACACGGAGTTTTCCTCTGTGGCATCCCAACAATTACTCCATTCACACACAGAAGAAGGCAATGGCAAACCACTTCTGGATCATCTGCCAAGAACGTATATGAACAGGTCCCAGTCCGAGAAAAGGATGGAAGGATTCTGTTCATATGGACCTGTCGTCAGACAGAACACTAAATAAATAAATAAATAAATAAATTGCAGTGACACACGTAGCAAGTTTCAACGAAATCCGTCGAGGAGCGTCGGAAATGAAACATGCTGATGCAGACGGACGCGACCTCCCCATTACGTTTTAATTTTATTCGCATTTAGCAGTCTTACAGTGCAAGACTGAAATAAATAGTGCAAAGTTTTGGTAAGTATATTCACGTTATTTGACAACTTTTTTTGGTAATGTACGTGTTAAATTAAATACGTCGTTAAACAATGCAATAACCAATGTCTGAAGGTGACTGTTTTCTGGGATGTTGCCCCGTGTAATCTGGTAGCAATTGACCGACGTTTCTGAGGTGCTTACAGCTGTTATCATAAGGACAGTATTTCAGAAATCAATTTTCGTAAATTATCCTTGCCGCCGTGAGAACCTGAAATGTCACCTAATCTATATCTTCTTTCTGCTGCTGAAGTTTATTTTTTCTCCTGTAATAAATTTGTTTTCACAGTAATTCAAGATAAAACGGAAAGAGATTTATAAAATCGTCAATATTTCGTTTAAAGTATGCTTTTCTCATATTTTAATTTAGCTTTTGTGGTTTAGTAAAAATTTTGGTTTAGCTGCATGGATCTCAGAGTTCAAATACACGGAATTAAAGAGCACATTTTCCCGGCTTTGTCTATCAGAATCTCAGCATCCTGTGGCGAATTTAAAGGTGTGAAAACTCTGAAAGATGAACAGATTATCACAATACAGTATAATCATTTACACGTTCACAGACCGAGAAACTGTAGACTTATTTCGCCTTTCCTGCAGACACATTAAACATCTCTGTATCTCCCGTGAAATAATTACACCACAATTACATTGATACATGTGTGTGGATACATATAAATACTCTTTAATGCGAATTAACGATGTAAAAAGAAACGTGTAATTATGAGACACTGCAGATCAGTAACGGATACAGATAAGCAGGAAACGCTGTTCCGGTGCTAGTGGTCCAGCGTGAGTCGCGATTCGCTAGTTGTTTTATGGCGCACAGACAACTTCAGAACGTGTAGCAGGTCTCATGTCGATCAGCAGTGAATGCTATTAGATTCCTTCTGTCACCAAGGCATCAGTTTCCTTTCGGGACGCCATTGTCACAGGTATGAAACGTCTGTCGTCGTTTCGCCTTAGAATCTCACGAAACGCAACGAAAGTTTTATTTATTGAAGCGTGGCATGTAATTATAGATCAGTCGAATGAGAATGGTAAGAAAATTATGAATTGTGAACTGGTAAAAATGAAGGCTAGTGAGTGGCGTGTATCTATCAAAATAATGTCTTGTTCCTCCTTGTTTCCTCATTACGTGCCATTACGTTACGAAACGCTGTGTCACCATTGTGCCGCTGAGCTGTGCAGTTCACCTGCCGCCACCAGGGGCGCTCTGTTCTCATGTCTCCGGGGGTACAGCGAGCGGTCTTCTCGCGATGACTTTTGGGTCTCCAAGAAAAGGAAATTATTTCTACACCAACTCGTAGTTAGTTACAGTCACGAGAATTGTGGCAGACCGCCCGCCAGGCAAAGTTGACTACGCGCACCTTTTATGACACCATCCTCTCACCGAAATCATTCTCTCTTTTCTCATGTGCTTCGTATCCTCCTACTTTGGCAATTCAGATATGTATAACGCTGTTTGGAAGATTAGTTAAAATGCTTCGTTGTGAAATAAATGCTTCCTTTATTTTAAAAACGTTCGTTTTCCACTGACTTTGTCAAAGAATTCTCCCTTCTCTCTTCACAGTTCTTCGCCTGTGTTCCTGTCCTCGTCACTTGTCGTCAAATTGAATCTAAGGAATCCCGAGTCCTGTTACACGTCCTGCTGCCAGGCTCGCAGGTACGTGTTTCTGTGCATTCGTTTTTCCTTAACGAGCCTCCAGTATTTGCTGTGAGAGGAGACCGTTGGCAGATTACAAGCGTGTGAGATTGATCTCTGATTATTACCGGAGTTCAGCATCTGCTACCAGAACGAGTGACAACAGGTGAAATACTGATTCTTACTTCTGAGGTACTCGGCGGCTTCAGTTAATACAAAGTGATAGGCAGTTGCTGGTCGTAATCGTTGAGACCCTGGCGCTGGCATGAAAATGACAAACAATTAGCTAGAGACAGAGAATAAATAAGGTTCATAATAAAATGAAGAGACAAACAGTCCTAGATTCAAGAAGGTTTTGTTATTAAATTGGTGAAGGCGAAATCCATGGCCAGCTTCCACTTTTCTTAAAAGTAGGCAGTGTACAGGCTGAAGACAGTCCGTACAGAATCAACGTTTTTATGAAGCCCTGGTTTCTTCTCCGTCTTATGACAGATTCGTACATAGCCTGTGTTTTTCTTAGCTATTACAGCCTGCCTTCTCTTGCATTTTCCAGCTATTACGATTTGTATTGGCATTTTCTCTGTTTATCTGAGGTGTAACATGTTTCTGCTCTTCTGTCCCTTCAAACTTTTTCTTCGGTTTTCTAAATTATGCAGTGCATCCGCTGCTTCGTCCAATTAGAGAGCTAATTAATTACGTGCATGTGCATGTGTGTGAGGGTATTGTGTTGTTGGTGTAGTCCCAGGAACGTAAAGTTTGAGGGGAACCGTTTGAGTATTTCTTCGCGTGGAAAGTTCAAAACATTTTAGATGTATTTGAAGTCAGTGGGTGAAAGTAAGTGCCCTAATAGGGTGATTGTTGTACCAGTAATGACGAGTGTTATGTTCCGCGGATGTTCTGAAGACTGGCTCCTCAAGAGACCTCATTAATAGGGTTCAGCGTGCCGCCAGAATGATGAGTGAGAGCGACTGGACAATCAAGAGGCCACTACAGAGAGCTCCCGAAACTACTGACACAAAGAAGCAGAGGAGATCAATTTACTTACTTTCGTTGTAATGTGCATTTGTGCTGTACACAGTAGCACGCAGCGAGTGTGAAGCTTGGCCAACCGTAACACGTCATTGCCTTCTGTTTTTATTTTACTTCTCTCACCTTTATCTTCCACTGCTTTATGTGTCTTTATTTCTTTTCATTTCGCTTCCTCCTTTCTATTTTGATTTATGTTAACTTGGTCTCTTACGATAATGCAGGGATTATCAACCCGCGGCTCGCGTGTCTGTAAGAAAGTATGTGTATTTTCCTCTCTGCTCCTCCTACCACATTCTAGCATCTGTCCTCCTGCACATCTGCGTGCAGGCTGTAGGTACCAGACACACACTTACCTGCTGGGTTTTGATTTCTGGAGGGCAGAGTGGCACTGGGGGGAAACAGGTTTGTCTCCGAGTTCTTCTTCAGTTTCCCCCCGTCAATGTCATTCCATCGCTGCTCCATTTTCACTCATGTGTCATCTGCGGGATGGACAGAGGCAGATACATGGTCTCCCCCCGTCGCAAACAACAACATTAATATACAGTTTACATCGGGATTAGACCTGCGGGCTTTGTTTATGGGGATGCGTTTGATTTGAAGTGTCCGTGTCTGGTCTTCATTGTATGAGGGATGTTGTGTTTCCCTGAGGGAAACTTTATAGGAATATGCACTAGCAGAGAAATATATAAAGGTCAACGCAGTGTGGAAACTTAAGGACCAGAATAAAATTGAATACTGAAATTTCAGGTTTTCAAGGCGGCGAAAAGAATTATAGAGAAGTTTAGTGACCATGATACTATGTGAATGCAGATGGCCAAGACACCATGGAATTGTAAACCTGCTGAGTTAAGAATCCAGAATTTCGAGGACTTGTTTCATAAATGTTTTTTAAATCTGTACAGCTATTAAATTATTGTGAAGATAATGGCACAGTATTCGTTTCTATGTATGAGGATAGAAAATGATTTAAGTGTGAGTTCCCTCGAAGTCATTAATTTGAAGGAGATACACAATAGTTTTGTTACGATGTAAGAGTGACACGCATGTGGAGTATAGTGAAGGGTGTCGTCACCATGGAATGTGGTTCGATTCTCAATGAAGACATTTTCAGTCTCTGATATCAAATGATTGTGTTACTGACAAAACAAAAACTGCACGTCGGCAGTTATCTTTATTGTGACAAAGTGCCTCGTCGTCTCAGGAGAGGACATTCCGAAATGTTGTCACGTCCATAGGGACCGCACCGAAAGCTCTGTCTAAGGCGTGCAAAACATTACAAAGTAATCCACTAGTTCTTTTAGCTTTGTTTTTTATTTGCATTCAACCTTTCCAAAACCTTCTCCCGTTCCGAAAGTTCTGGTCCCAGTTTTGTTTTGCAGTGATTACGTACGTGGAATAAATTCCGGTAGACTGAGGCACGCCGTCAAGGTCACTCCGTCTACTGATGTGGACGTCGTTTTGGGTAATCAGAGATGTTTCATCACAGGTGGCTGCTCTCCGCACAACTGTGCTGCCTAATCAAATGTCGCACTGCCATGCCTCTGCCCTGCAACTTCACATTTATTTTCTCTCAGATTCAGTCTTGTTCCTCCTTCTGGGTTTAAAACTCCAAACAGGCCTCTATATTTCATTCTAACTCGTCTGAGTATACGAGTAATCCTTGTTGAAGAGTCATCAGTCGCTTATCTGGTAAAGACATTACCCACCTTTTTTTGTAAACCGATGGTTCATTGCCGTGTCAGTAGAGCCCACCACCGGCCCCTATTCGGAATTAAGGTAATGCAACCCGCCTGGTTAAAATGAAAGAATTCTTTAAGTTTCCACTCTGGTCCTTTCGCAGCCAGGGAGAAGATCTTGCTAGAGTTAATTTTATACGTTCCTATGACAGGCAAATAACTTCGGCTTTGTTCCTCACAAACGGCTAGTATTTTGTAAGTGTTTGCTAGAGGAAGTAAGAAGAGAAGGTGGGATTGAAATCAAAAAGAAGACATGATGGCAATAATGAAGAAAATGGTACGATGATTATAGTAATAAAGAAGGTATAGTGGAATGGATGAGAAGTAAAGAAACTGAAGAAGGATTCGAAAGTGGAGGAAAACGGAATTTATGAATGAATAAATAATAATAAATACACAGAAAAATAAAGGGAGAAATAAAGACGAAAATATAGAAGAGAAGAAGAAAGAAAGAAAGAAAGAAAGAAAGAAAGAAAGAAAGAAAGAAAGAAAGAAAACGATGGAAGAAGCAAAGGAAGAGAAAAGGTCCGCCGAACTTTGGTGGCAACTCTTGGTTGAGGACTGCAGCACTCACTGTACGTTCGTTTGACCATAACACACAACAATCCCTTCGCCTCTGTGTAGTTCCCAGTGAACAGGGTTGGGTTTGGTGGAGTTGAAATGATTGGTAGTGGATGTTTTCATTATATTGTACAGCCACGGCCGGGCGAGGCCCCTCGGGATACTGGGAGCAGGGGATAAGAAATCGCCGCTGACCAGCACGACAGCATTGAGAGCGGTTGAGCTCTGCTGGGTCCATTCAGACAGCCTGTCATCATGACCGGCGGCTGCGCCGGAGTGGCACGCACAGCTTTCGGTCCGTTCCACTGCGGCCTCCGTCCTGTCCGTCTGACTGACTGCTCAAATGCTGTGTGCTTAAAGATTCCACAAATGCGACTTTTATTCAAACGGTTTATTGTGTGAAATGTCAAAATACAGAATGGCGACGTCTCGAAATCAGTTTTACCTTCGGTTTTATGACAATGAATTATTCATCATTAAAACTAGGTTGGATACAGAACATGAATGGACTTATAAAACTTATTTAAAATATTTCTGTGTATGTTAACAATTACAAATATGGCGCCGTTGCGAAACTCTGGTAATTGTGATGTAGTCGGATATAAAGATTTATTGCGAGCTTCAGTATACAGATTACAGATTAAGGGACAGGGAGATCAAGAAACAAATAACCTAAATAAATAACGTATTAAAGAAAAAGAGAAACATTAATTGTATAGTCTAAAGAATAAAGAAATGTAGATATAAATATATAATAATAGAAGTGAATAGGTGAACTGAATGAAATAAAAAGGAAACAAAATTTTTCTGGACTACTCGTACACCTTTTCTTTTTTATTTAGAGCACTCAAGAGAGTGAAATGTTTCCCGTCTCGGTAGGTATTATTCAGCTTACAGGCGTATCCTAGTAGGCACACAAACTCAATTAGACCCACAGACATCTGATATATGTATCACAGGCGTTTCTATTTCTCTTATGCTAATTAGCTTGAAACCTCTTTCTGCACATTTGTCTTGTAACATTATACCGAGTTTAACCAAAGCATTTGCTGCCATGTTAGTTGTCCATGAGCTGATTCCCGCAGCTGTGGTCAGTTATAAGCCTTGGCGCTTCAAGTCCACCCTGAAGAGCTGTTCTTTTTCGGACATTTCAATTATCAGTGCTCTTCGCCGATAATTAAAAGATAAATTTATGTTTTCATACTTGCTTGCCCTCTGTTTGAGTTGGATCATACCTAGCAGAATGTGTTCAAAGTACGTAACACGTAGCACGGCGTATCTTTTAATTGTTATCCTTTTGTGACGGCACTGAGGGCGATACAGAGGGATAAAAGGAAGGAAGAAGGAGGGCGAGGTGTTAAGGTGGGGAAAAAATCACTCCCCGTTGATTTTCAACGAGCTTCCTACATCAGTTGCTGCATGCTTATTAGAGAGAAGAAGAAAAATACAAACTCGTGCTTAACTGGAACCGCATTTAGACTTACACGATTGATTAACTTTGATACTGTGCCCACTCTCGGCTCTAGCAGGAGAACAAACTGATCAAAACTTTAGAAGCCATAACCAACTCAAAAGCAAGCCATTTGCCCCGTTAACAGATTAATTACTTATTGTTATTGACATTCAAGTTCATCAGCAAAAGCTCGCCATCAGATCTTATGCTGAGCCTGTTCACGTTTTCAAAGTCAACTTGCC